GCGTGCGTGCGTGCGTGCGTGCGTGCGTGCGTGCGTGCGTGCGTGCGTGTGTGTGTATGTGGTAAATGTTTGTGAGTAGAGAGAGGGTTTTGTATACTAATAACTTAGGCTTTAAAATAAGAAGTTCCTCAACTTCATCGTAAGTACGTCCTAACAACCATCTCGTGATTAACGCTCTTGCTTCATGTTTAGTGAGGAGTAAAATGTTTAATTTATTATGAAAAAAATTATAAAGACGACTACCTCTGTAGTAGAAGAATCTTTGCGCAAACGAAGTTCTAGCGCAATTGTGTTCAGAACTAGTAAAGAGTCTTCGATTGGTACACACAGAAAAATTTCTAGAAGGTAGAGTGATTGAGTGTTGACGCATTAAAGTCAGAAGCAGGTACAATTGCCGTACAGATAGTACGTTCGCTTCCGGATATAGTTGCGATGTGGGGAAAAAGTCGGGGTATTAGGAGTGCAACCTTCAGCAAACATCTTGGTGCTCGTTCCAATATTATTAGATTGTTTTTAGTAGTCCCCCCAAGACGTAATGCAATAGGTAATTACGGATTGTACTAGCGCTCGATATACATTTCGCATAGTTTTGCTGTCAGTGACTTGTCTAAGGTGTTTAAAAATGTAAATGAGTTTCCGAATTCTTTGAGACAAATTTTGAATATGTAAATAGAAAGAGAGATTATTATCAATAGTGATCCCAAGATAGCGTATGGTTTGTGTTTTGTCAATACTTTTACAGTTGCAGGCAGTAGTTGGGGGAAATGAGCATGTATATATGTTGTGGTTTAAATAAGAAGAAGACTTGGTGTTCCGAATACAAAAAGTTATATATTTCGTTTTAGTTACATTGAGCGTTAGAGAGTTTGCTGCTAGCCAGTGACTGACTACATTTAATCCTTGCTGGGCAGATGCGAACACACTATTCCAGGAGTCACCATAGAATGTAAGTGTTGTGTCATCCGCATAAGCAATTATTTTACAATTTGGTAGTTGGAGTTTACAGATCTCATTTACATAGCATAAAAAGAGGGTTGGGCCAACAATACTACCTTGCACACCTGGGACACCATGTGTAATATGGAGGTCATCACTGAGGTAGTCACCAAGTTTGACACGCTGAGTTCGATTTGTCAAGTATTCCGTCAATAATTTTAATGGTGTTCCTCTAATGCCAATATTTTCCAGTTTCCCTATCAGGTTTGGAATTGAGACCGTATCGAAGGCCTTTGCAAAGTCAATGAAAATAGTAATACACTTCTTGCCACTGTCAAGCTTTTTAACTAAAAAAATCTGTAAAATCATGAACCGCATCATCCGCAGATATGTTTTTCCTAAAGCCATATTGAGCCTTCGCAAGAATGTGTTTGGTTTCAAAGTAGTTGACAAGTCTGTTATTGATAACACGCTCAAAGATTTTAGACAAGGAAGTAAGTATGGAGATGGGTCTATAGTTGTTGACCACGCATCTATCCCCGGCCTTGTAAATCGGATGAACAATGGATTTTTTGAAGGCATTGGGAAAAGTACCAAAGTAGTAAGTAGTAAGGCGATTAAGCAGCGGTTTATGAGATTGGTGAGTACTGGAGTAATATAGTGTGAAATCTTTTTAAAAGCCTTCGTCGGAATACCGTCCCACCCTGGAGAACAATCAGTTTTAACAACTTCAAGGAAAACAAACGAATGCAAGGGTATACATTCAGTATTCCAGTAATTTTTGAAGGGAGTGATGTTAGTCGGAATATTATCGGCAAGCTGCTTACTTACATCGGCAAAAAATCTATTTGTTGCATTAGTGGAAGATTGCGGTGAATCACCAGATGCGAGTAGTTCGTGAGGGAATTCTTTCTGCTTTTGTGTATTGGTAAAGGATTATATGGCAGTCCATAGTTTTTTAGAGTTATTTTTAGCCATAACTAGTTGATCCCGTTCATATTGAAGTTTCAACTTTTTAAGGAGGCTGTTGCAAAAATTTATATACCTCTTATATGTTAACTTAAGAGTTTCGTTGTTAGGGTACATTCTTAAATTTTTATGCATAGAATCGCTATAACAACAATTTAAAAACAAAAAACTATACAATAACAATTTAAAAGTTCCAGTATTACAAATCAATAGGGTATTTTTATAGAGCACTACAAATTTTCATACAATATGCAAATCAATCTGCAAACGTGGTGGGTGCGTGGCGCGACAGAGGCGCCGCAGCTGCGTTTTCTAAATATTATATGAAAATTAGTGGCGCAGCTGCAGCGCTTTTGCAGGCGTCTTTTTTTTTTTTTTTTT